ACAGCATCCTGTCTCGGAAGCTGAAATATTTGACTCATGTCAAGCACCATGACGGATTGGAACAATTATAGAAGAAGGCATAGTACCAGGAAGGAGCGGCAGGGACCGACCGACACAAAAATGGGCACAGGATATAAGTGACTCCTTGAATGTGAAAGTGCATGAGGAGGGAGAGCTGGCGAGAGACGTGAGTTCCTTTAAGGCAGACTGTGATGAGAGCGACATTCTGCAAAGGACCTGCTACATGATGATGATGAATGTCTTTATGTTGACTGTGTAGCAGAGACTGCCACTCCTACATTTGACTTTACAGTCATAGCAGACACTGTTTCTTAACCAGAGGCACAGCTCCATGGTCTCCAGGGATTGATGGCTACCTACATTTGAAAAAAACATAATATGTCTGTTGCATCAGTTCCTGGAACTTTGTTACTTTGACCCTACCAGTGTAGTCATCTTTCCTTATTCACTATTTATATTTTCTGTAAGTGCAAATGGTTGTAAGTTGCATAGGTCATAGGTCAAGGAGAAGGTGTACTTTCATGCAACAGTTAACGTATGAAGTCACAAAAATATGTTACAATGACTGACCTGTTCTCACCTGTATTTTCTTTCAGCTGTCAGATGAGAGTTGGTACGTCTGTCCATGGTCCATCTTGCCGACCTCAGTGGTAATTTACTAATTGCCTTTGCATATGTTTGCGCTTTTTTTTTAAAAATCCATCTCTTTCTGTATGTGTCTTATTTTGTATCTCTTTTCTCTCAAATTACGGCATCAACCAGACCGCTTCTCACCGGGATGCAGAGGCTCTGAACAAATTGTGGTGGTGTACCAAGACCAGTGTAATACCTTCCTCTACCTCACTGCAGAAACAGGTTCCAAACCCAGAGCCTGGCCAACAAAGACAATCAACGTTTTCTTTGTAGTAACAGTGTGTCTGCCTGAGAGATGAGGAACCAACAGTCTGCACACAAATAAGCCAGGTCTGTCAAGTGGATTTTTACAAGCACTCAAATCATGGAATAAGTCCGGAAGTGGACAGATAGCCAGGACATTCTCCTGGAGTTTACAGCCAGTGAATGGGAAAAAGAAGAAGGGCTTCCGGTTAGACGATAAAGGAGGATGTCTTAAAACCTAAAACAAATTATTATATTAGTTCAAACATTGACATAGAGGTCTGAATTTGAATAAAGAAGAAGAAACTGCACTTTATTTCTGTCTCTCCACATCTCTCAGTAACTCCCTCTTTAACTCTTTCTGCTATATTCCCCCAATAGCCCCATCCGTCTCTCCCTCCCTCTGTTATTTTCCCTTTATATCTCTACATGTCTCTCTCTTTATCTCCGTGTGTCTCTATCCGTCAGTATTTCTACATGTCTCTTGGTCTTTTTCTTTACTTGTATCTCTTTTCTGTGTCTGTATCTGCATGTATCTTTATACATTTTCTCTCTCTATATCTCTGCATGTCTCTCTGTCTATTTCTGTCTTTCTTTCTGACATACCTATGAGAAACAGTCATGTAATGTCTCCATAACTCCATGCGCAGTTGTCACCCTGAGAAGTAAATCAGTTTTTGCTCCTACTTTGGGTTCTGCATCAAAACAGTGCCCCTACTTTGGGTTCTGCATCAAGACAGTGCTCCTACTTTAGGTTCTGCATCAAGACAGTGCTCCTACTTTAGGTTCTGCATCATGACAGTGCTCCTACTTCGGGTTCTGCATCATGACAGTGCTCCTACTTTGGCTTCTACATCATGACAGTGCTCCTAATTTGGCTTCTACATCATGACAGTGCTCCTACTTTGGGTTCTGCATCATGACAGTGCTCCTACTTTTGGTTCTGCATCAAGACATTGCTCCTGATTTAGGTTCTGCATCATGACAGTGCTCCTACTTTGGGTTCTGCATCATGACAGTGCTCCTACTTTGGGTTCTGCATCAAAACAGTGCTCCTACTTTGGGTTCTGCATCAAAACAGTGCTCCTACTTTGGGTTCTGCATCATTACAGTGCTCCTACTTTAGGTTCTGCATCATGACAGTGCTCCTACTTTGGCTTCTACATCATGACAGTGCTCCTACTTTGGGTTCTGCATCATGACAGTGCTCCTACTTTGGGTTCTACATCATGACAGTGCTCCTACTTTGGGTTCTGCATCATGACAGTGCTCCTACTTTGGGTTCTACATCATGACAGTGCTCCTACTTTGGGTTCTACATCATGACAGTGCTCCTACTTTGGGTTCTACATCATGACAGTGCTCCTACTTTGGGTTCTGCATCATGACTGTGCTCCTACTTTGGGTTCTGCATCATGACAGTGCTCCTACTTTGGGTTCTACATCATGACAGTGCTCCTACTTTGGGTTCTACATCATGACAGTGCTCCTACTTTGGGTTCTGCATCATGACAGTGCTCCTACTTTGGGTTCTACATCATGACAGTGCTCCTACTTTGGGTTCTGCATCATGACAGTGCTCCTACTTTGGGCTCTGCATCATGACAGTGCTCCTACTTTGGCTTCTACATCATGACAGTGCTCCTACTTTGGGTTCTGCATCATGACAGTGCTCTTACTTTTGGTTCTGCATCAAGACATTGCTCCTGATTTAGGTTCTGTATCATGACAGTGCTCCTACTTTGGCTTCTGCATCATGACAGTGCTCCTACTTTGGGTTCTGCATCATGACAGTGCTCCTACTTTTGGTTCTGCATCAAGACATTGCTCCTGATTTAGGTTCTGCATCATGACAGTGCTCCTACTTTGGCTTCTGCATCATGACAGTGCTCCTACTTTGGGTTCTGCATCATGACAGTGCTCCTACTTTTGGTTCTGCATCATGACAGTGCTCCTACTTTGGCTTCTGCATCATGACAGTGCTCCTACTTTTGGTTCTGCATCAAGACAGTGCTCCTACTTTGGGTTCTGCAACAAGACATTGCTCCTGATTTAGGTTCTGCATCATGACAGTGCTCCTACTTTGGCTTCTGCATCATGACAGTGCTCCTACTTTATGTTCTGCATCATGACAGTGCTCCTACTTTTGGTTCTGCATCAAGACATTGCTCCTGATTTAGGTTCTGCATCATGACAGTGCTCCTACTTTGGGTTCTGCATCATGACAGTGCTCCTACTTTAGGTTCTGCATCATGACAGTGCTCCTACTTTGGGTTCTGCATCATGACAGTGCTCCTACTTTGGGTTCTACATCATGACAGTGCTCCTACTTTGGGTTCTACATCATGACAGTGCTCCTACTTTGGGTTCTGCATCAAAACAGTGCTCCTACTTTGGGTTCTGCATCAAAACAGTGCTCCTACTTTTGGTTCTGCATCATGACGGTGCTCCTACTTTAGGTTCTGCATCATGACAGTGCTCCTACTTTAGGTTCTGCATCATGACAGTGCTCCTACTTTAGGTTCTGCATCAAGACAGTGCTCCTACTTTAGGTTCTGCATCATGACAGTGCTCCTACTTTAGGTTCTGCATCAAGACAGTGCTCCTACTTTGGGTTCTGCATCATGACAGTGCTCCTACTTTAGGTTCTGCATCATGACAGTGCTCCTACTTTGGCTTCTGCATCATGACAGTGCTCCTACTTTATGTTCTGCATCATGACAGTGCTCCTACTTTATGTTCTGCATCATGACAGTGCTCCTACTTTTGGTTCTGCATCAAGACATTGCTCCTGATTTAGGTTCTGCATCATGACAGTGCTCCTACTTTGGGTTCTGCATCATGACAGTGCTCCTACTTTGGGTTCTACATCATGACAGTGCTCCTACTTTGGGTTCTGCATCATGACAGTGCTCCTACTTTGGGTTCTACATCATGACAGTGCTCCTACTTTGGGTTCTGCATCAAAACAGTGCTCCTACTTTGGGTTCTGCATCATGACAGAGCTCCTACTTTAGGTTCTGCATCATGACAGTGCTCCTACTTTAGGTTCTGCATCAAGACAGTGCTCCTACTTTGGGTTCTGCATCATGACAGTGCTCCTACTTTAGGTTCTGCATCAAGACAGTGCTCCTACTTTGGGTTCTGCATCATGACAGTGCTCCTACTTTGGGTTCTGCATCATGACAGTGCTCCTACTTTAGGTTCTGCATCATGACAGTGCTCCTAATTTGGGTTCGGCATCATTACAGTGCTCTTGCTCACAGGTCCATCATTACAAATGAATTTTTTGCAAAAGTGAAAATGGATGTTCTTCAGAAAGCTGATAACATTCAAGAAATTAGATGCAGACAGTCCAAGTGTTTTGACATGTTATGTAGAGAAAATAACACTTGATGAAATTCATCAGTCAGGATTGTTAAAAGAGCAAGAGAAGAAAGAAATAGGAGCTGGGAGGATTTGGCTACACATCATAATCAATAAAAGATCCCAGATTTGACCCAGGATCCTGTGACCGTTGTGAGGTGACAAATTTTGATTGACCACATTTGTTTGTTGAGATACATGATGATGAGGATGATGATGATGATGCAGTATGCATGAGCAGGCTTGAAATGAAAACCTTCAAAGTGTTTCAAACCAGCATGACCAGATCAGACACACAGAGTAGTAATGCCAGAATTGATTGCAGCCATTTCGAAACATCCTTCTCCACTTTTACACTTGCTGGTTTGACAGGCATGTAAGGCCTTACTGGCCGTTAGAGTTTTATAGGTTTCACCCCTGCACTGAAAAAAAAACAACAACCAGGTAGTAGAACTCTGCACCACTTTGATGTATGTCAAGGGTGGCCATATTTAAACTGTCATGGCGTTACCGTCTTAATCTGCACTGTATTTTCACATGCTTAACACTCTTGACATCATTAACGACAATTATGACAGGCATATTTATTATAATTTCTTTCACACTTTCAAGGTTTTCATTTGAAGCGCCCTCGTATATATGACTACTTTACTTTTTTGTAAATGCCATTGACTAAACTGCCGATGTTTGTGACAATTCTCACTGTCGTTTAAGCCTTTATTTTGTTTATTATACAGGAGCATGCGTTTTTGTCTGGAAGGTGGAACCACCAAACGAGCCTTGCATGTGGTACATGCCGAGGGAAACAGGCCAGACTGGTTAGTAGAGTCTCGTTTCCGCATGTGGCGAGCAGTGCAGTGGCCAAAAGTCTCTAATCCTGTGTTGTAAGTGTGTTCTGATAATCTCCTCCCTCCAGTGGCTTCAGGAGTCTCATCCTTTTCAACCCCATATATCAGGTGGTAGGGAAGCTTTACTTTTACCCCCTGGCCATTTTTCTTCTCTGTTTCTCCAAGCATGTAATTCATAACCTTTCGTTTTGCATATTCTCTATGTTCTGGTTTGTATATTTATGATCTTTAAGCTGCCCTTGTATATTTCCTTGGTGACTTTATGGTTTTGCTAAGTATGTCTATTCTTCTGCTGGGCAGCCATTTTTCAGTGGGAGTTTCTTTCTGCTGGTTTCATTGCTCGAATTGTGTTGGGTAAAAAGTAATTATTCATTATAAACTTCTGTAATACAATGATTGATGGCTGTGAGACAGTGATTGATTATGAATGATTACCCTTATACGGTAATTTAATATGATTGTAATGATAAAATTAAGTAATTGATTATGAATGATTGTCGCCGTAGAGAGCTTATGGAATTATAATTCATGTTCTGTAACTTCAGGGTAAGTTAACAGCATTTCATTTAATGCCTTTTAAATGTTTTTGTTTTTGGTGGTTTTATTAAAATTAAGCATCGTTTTTAACAAATTATTATTGTTATTCAGAATGGTTAAAAAATTGTGAACTTTGAATTTGAGGGGCATAATTTGACTGACTGACATGCCACATGTTAAAATCCCCTTTGCAAGAGTAATTTTTTGTGTGTTTTAATTTGTGCACATGCCTAACATACTATTCACCCCATAAGACCTGACATGAATATAAATAGTAGCATGATTTTTTATGATCCTGCCCTAATTAAGGTCCTCAACTGGACTGATTTGTTTGTTAAAGCACATGATGGACAAATGGAAGTATAAAGTAGTGAATGTATGATCACCATAAATTACTACTGTTACTGATATTAATTCTTCAAATAGATAATAATATTATTTTGGATTTTTGTACGTGACACATGAAAACATAATACATTCCTGGACAATAAGCCTTAAAGCATCTTTTGAAACAAAAATTTATGTGAAATGGAAATTAAAGTCGTTTGACGAAAAGAATTAATGTATATCCCAATCTTATTTTTGGTTGGAAACATTGTAAGCATCAGGTAATGCTATGGGAAGTAAAGATGGCTAGTGCTATATTGACTGCATCACACATTAAGTGACAGTTGGTTTGGAAAAATATGGAAACTTGTGCTGAATACCTTCTAAATATCCTGGTATTATTTGCGGGAAATACATTTTATAAAAGAAGAACATTCTTTTGCAGTAAATCCGTGTCGCTGGAGGTTAGAAAAAAAATAGAATTCTCACATGCTATACAGAGCCAATTTTTAACATATGACCATGAATCCTGGACAATAAATTAAAAAAACCAATTTCTTGAAGATGTGGTTTTACAGAAAAATTCTTAGAATTTCTTGGACTGCTAAAAAGAGCAACCCAGATGTTTTGAAAAGGGCAAGGGCTCAAAGACCGGCTATCACAAGCATCAGAAAGAGACAGTCCTAATTTGTTCAGATGGTCACATTATGAGAAGAAGGAAACTAGAACATATTCTGACCACTCAAGATCTGTAGCAAAAAAAGAGACAGGAAAACAACGTGAGAAGATTCTTGACAGCATTTTGTCATGGCATTTAACATGCTGTTAAAGATTGCAGATAGTGAACAGGCATGTTCGCCCTTACCAGTCAGCAAGGCTTGATAATGATGTTGATGTGTGGAATGTCTTTATTCTAACTGACGTTGTGGTTTTCTCATGTCTGTTTTTCTGCCACTATATTTTGGTTTTACAATGTGGGATCAATGTACTCATTATTTAAATTAGTGGGAGCATATTTAAATTTTAGAAGTTTTCAAACATCTTTATTCTGATTTTTTAAATTTATTTTATTAACCTTCCGGTGATATACTGTTTTCCCATCATTTACTTATTTTGGACTTCTGGTCCAGTTTGGCATATTGGTGGCTTACTGCTGACACTCTGCAAAATGATTTGTTTCTAGCCAGGGTCTGCTGATGCAAATTTCCTATTCCTGGACTGGGAGTCCATAGTTCTGTCACTACTGAATTGAGTGCTCAGTGTGACACTGTGAGCTGTGGATTTCATGTGGAATGTTTTTTCTGTTGTGCCTGTGATGTCTGTGTGTTGTAGACTGCAGTAAAATTAGTTTTTGGCCAGTTACTTGAGAATGACATATACTTATGCAGTATTGTGTTTAAAATGCTGACTTTCGTAATTGACTGCTTGGAAAAACAGTGAGCTGAAATTCTTGTGTGGCACTGTTAGTGTCGGCTTATCTGACAGCTTCCTTATGTATTTACTATTTCATGTGCAAGCTTCAAGGTTTTGCTGCAACAGACGTCTTTTTTACCAGTTTTTAGTTATTGTAAAATTAAAGTAAAAGTAAAGATCCCTTTTCACGCCTTTAGAGGCATCGGGCATATGGAAAGAGCGCCCATATTTTTTCAGACCATCGGCATTAGGTGGGTAATGTCAGCATTACACTGGCCATCTCTACTTCCTCAGGACAGCCATCCTGGTACCCATTTTAGGCTGGGTCTACCTGCCATGCGGCATACATCGATAAAAATCCATGCATCCAGCAGTGGGTTTCAATTGCGGTACGTTGGAATTACGAGTCAGTACTCAATGCCCTTCAGTTGGTGCAGTGAAGGATATTTTGTTTGATTTCCACTGGCACAGGAATGGAGTTGTGAGGCAACCCAACTGCAATGAAGTTGGAACTTCAACTAGTGATTTGATTACAGAAAACCATTGTGTGTCTCTCTCCTTGTGTTCGGGGTAGAGGGTATATTTTCATTGATTACCCCTGTATGAAAATTCATTATTTAACTACAACTTTCAACATTGTCTAGGAATTTCCTAGAAAGGAATAGCAGTGAGAAAAGTAACAGACTACCTCTTCTCATTAGATAAAGGCTTAAAATGTGACACGTCACTGATCGTACCGGCCATGGAACTTTCTTTACCTTCATAAATGGAAAAGGAACCTTCTCTTGGCTTTGGCACATCAGGCATATAGTACTAGACAATACAGGGTCAGCGAGAATGATTGCCTGGATTTTAAACTATTCTAAAAATTACACTAACATAAAATAAAGCACAAAATTGAAAAAATTCAACTGAAATGCAAATAGTTTCTTCTGATACATTGTGTGTGTTTCGTGGCTGCTGGAAGCTCACTATAGTCACGTGACTTACCAGGGTAACTTCAAATTTACGATAAATTTCATCTGCTTACAAAGAACGGGGTTGTTGATTTTTATTGTTAAAGCTTTGGCCATTCTCAACAGTCACCCTTTCGTTGTGTGGTAAACCACACGGAAAGCACTGTCTGTGTCAATTATGTGTCCGGAATTAAGTAGATGCCGTCCTATGGAAGAAGCGGGTTCTTTCCTCTTGACTGGTCTCAACACCCTAGAAGAATCACTCAGCTGTGAATGTAGCCATTTGGGTATGTGCTCTGCCTCTATTTCCAAGCTCTCTCCGTTTGACCGATGTAAGTCAACTGGCACTTACATGTAAATTGGTAAATACAATTAGATTTGGTGTACAGAGAAACAAGCTGTTTTACAGGTGGGGTTGGGATAGGAGGATATTCTAAGAATTTTTCTGTAACTTTTAAGTTCAAATTTTCATAACATTTTTATAACTTAAAAAATGTGCCATTTGTGGTTTATGTGTGACATATTTTCATTATGTCATTGGAATTCACTTTTTCAGATGCATTGTGTCATTGGAATTTACTCAGTAATCCATACAGCCCACCTTTAAATCTTGCTATATTCTAACCTGTCATTTAATACTGTCATTTGATGTTCTTAGAAGGTATATAATACTATCTAAGCTCTTTCCTGAATTAGGATTTATTCAGAATATTATTTCTTACTTGTTTCATGATGATACTTAATGGTATTTATATTTCCTGAAGATTGTATATGCATACATCTGTGACTGATTAGTTACCAGAGAATGTATGTTTATTTTTCATTTTCTGGACATAATTCTAGTTCTTCCTTATATATTCCCCTTTAAAACAAACGTTTCTCAGCTAATTTCTATTCTGGTCTTCTTTTATCATCTCTTTTTAAGCCTCTTTGACCTTCTTGTCTGCAGAATCTCTCCAGATTCTCCTTGGTGTGCCCACTGCATTTATTTCTTTCATATTCTGTGGCAGGCATATGTTATGAGAGCTCCGTCTACAGATTTCATGCATGTTTTTTCCCCAGGGTCTATAACATTGGTATCCAGGTGACTCCAGGCCGGGGGCGCTACAGAGGCACCAACATCGTCACCTTTGCCCCTCAGTTTGTGGTCGACAACCAGTCAGATTTCAAGCTGGCCATTGTGCAGCATTACATGATTAAGAAAGAGGTCAGTATAAGAATAACACAAAGAGTGAAATGCTTTTTTTTTTTAAAAACACAAATAAACATAAAATGTTGCTAGAGATCACTATGGTGCTGTCAAAGAAGCGTACGAGCCAACCAGCACGAAGATGGATATATGACATATCTTTTGCAGAAAAGTGCATGAGGCAAGAGAGTTAACGAGAGGTTTCAGTCAGGTGGGCTGTGTATCAAATAAGATCCGCAGATGGTTTGCAATATGATGACAGATCACTACAAACATAAAACACATATAAAATTTAGGTTTTTGCTTATATATGTATACACACACACCACATACTGAGCTTTTAGATGAAGTTACCATCCTTTCTGTGTTCCCAGGCTTCATTTAGGGGGGGGGGGGAGAGAGAAATAGACTCGGTAACAAACATGTCATAACAGGCCACTAATCTGGAGAGTTTCTTTTGAGGTTGGGCATCATCTGCTAGAGAGGCAGTGAACCAACAGTCTGACTGATATGAATAAGCCAGATCTGTAAAACCTAAAATATAAGTATACCTAAAAAGTATACCTAAAATTCAAGTTCTGAAATTCCAGAAGTGGACAAACAGTCAGGACTTTCTGCTGGAGTTTACAGCTGGTGGATGCTAAGCAAAAGAAGAAGATGAAGTGACTGGTTCCTTTCTTGCTACATTCTTCCCAGAAATATCTCTGGAGTCATTATTTGACGATTGGTGAACTTTAGGATCATTTTCATTTGACAAATTATCCCTGAGTCGGTTCCAGAGCTCCATCCATTTGCATGTAAAACTCAAGTTCTAAAACAAGACTTGTCCAGAACTGGACAAAGAGCAAGAACTTTCCACTGGAGTTTACAGCTGGTGAACGCACAGATGAAGAAGATTTGGCAAATTACGATTCAGTATTGAAGATGACTGGTTATTCAAGAAATGTTAATGGCTCTCCCTTACAGAATGTCACTAAGTAACCACAGTATTTCTTGGCTGTTTGTATTGTTACTAGGCATGTGATACGTGCGGTCCTTCATTGTGACGTGCAGAGCTTCATGCTGATGTGTGTGGTACCAAGATGAAATAGGCCAAGTAGGGGTAAAACAGTAGTTACTTCAATGCTTTCAAAATGTAGAGCTCGAACGCTATGCGTTAAGTTCCAACGGTTGTATTGATATATACAATCAGCAATGATTAACACAAAGGATACATATGCAAGTAATAATCAACTCGTTCAACCAAAGCTCGCTCGTACATCCATGTAATGATATGTCCTCACGATAGGTCGCAGTCCGACCTTGAGATCCAGACGATTTACTTTCTCCTCGGACAAGTCCGAATTAAGCAATGAAAGTATACCGGCTTACTGCCGAGAATGTAGTATTAACCAGCTTCCTGCTGAGGTCTATCTTGGAATCCCGGGGTAAAACGTCCTCAAGGATCCAACTTTATATAACGTTTGCTTCCGTGGGATCCCGGGGTAAAGCGTCCTCAAGGATTCCCACGTCCGTCTCCTTCGGACTATAAACATCAACTGCTTTGACAACAATATTATCATAACAACGTTACGTATTGTTTTGACGTCTTATTTGCTCACTCCGTACCGGTGCGTTCTGGTGCACATTCGCACGCGACAGCTTTTCCCCCCTCCCGAGGACGACCGAGCACTAGGACTTGACGTAGTCTCGGTCGGAAAACTGGAGTCATGTCGCGGCAAACAGCACCAGTACGTGAGAGCAAATAAGAACACTTGAATACACACACACTCACTCCTCAATATATCGTCAATACATTACTAAATGCATGCAAAATATAGATTCCTGACTTCACTAAGCATTATTATCAACAACATTATCGTTATCCAAATTATTTTCATAACAGCATGCATTTTAAATATCATGTAAATTCAACAAATAAACATCAATCCTATTCCAATGCCTCTGGGGTGCGCGACAAAAAATCGGCTAAGACATTTTCTTTCCCTGGGCGATAAATAACTGTGAAGTTGAACGTCTGTAGAAACATTGTCCATCTTAATATGCGTGAGTTTTTGATGGGTGCTGAGTTCAAGACTTCGAGTGGACGATGGTCTGTCAAGATAAAGAAGTGACTGCCATACAGGAATTGGGTAAACTTCCCTACTGCCCAAAAAATGGCTAGTGCCTCCCTCTCGCCCACGCTGTAACGGAATTCAGTAGGAGACAGCTTCCTGCTGGCATAAACAACAGGGAGTAGGGTGCCCTCTCTGGATTGCATCAACGTCCCACCAATCGCAACATCAGACGCATCTGTGGATACATAAAACGGCAGAGACAAATCTAGCAAACACAAGAACGGATTACTATTAAATGCCTTTTGTAATCTCTGGAGCGCGTCCTCGCACTCTCTCGTCCAGATAACCTTCGCTGGCATTCCTTTCATCGTCAATGAGGACAACACGGCTGTAATGGTTGAATAGTTAGGAATGAATTTGGCATAAAAGTTACATAAACCCAATAACGCACGCACTTGTTTCTTCGTTTTTGGTATAGGGATGTTAAGAATCTTACCCACCGTGGTGGCTTCGGGTTTACGGACCCCGTGTCCTACAACGTGACCGAGGAACGTGACCTCCTCGAAAGCGACCTTCACTTTAGTTGGTCTAACTGTCAGATTAAACGATTTTATGCGTTCCAGTAATGTCTTTAGACCTCGAATATGTTTGTCTAAATCATTATGGAAAAGCAGAATGTCATCCAGATAATGAATAACATCATTACGACCCTGTAACAACTTGCGTACGAGGCGGGTGAACGTCGCCGGTGCTCCCGAAAGCCCGAAGACCATATAGTTGAAGTGAACCAAACCTTTGTTCGTCTGAAACGCTGTGTATTTTTTGGAATCCTCGTCTAAGGGAATCTGCCAATAACCCTTGGTAAGATCTAACTTTGTAAAATACCTAGCCTTCGACAATGCAACAAACATATCTTCCATATTTGGGATATTTTCAGCATCTACAACCGTGATTCGATTCAATTTTCGGAAATCTATGCAGATCCGAAGGCTTCCATCTTTCTTTCGGACAACCACTATTGGAAAAGCATAGGGTGATGTCGACGGTTCAATTATACCCCACTTAATCATGTTATCGATTTCCTTATCCACGGCATCCCGATAATGAAAAGGTATAACATATGGTTTCATTTTGATGGGTTTATGATCTATTAATTCAATGGAATGCACTGCTTCTGTCGTTCTACCCGGTATGTCCGATAATGTTTTGTCGAATGTAGCCAAAATACGCTTTATACGACGCACCATATCTGGTGGAACCGAGGGCGCGACCTCCACGTCTCTCCATGTTTCTCTGGGTACCAGTTCGGGTAGAGACAATTGATGAGCAGTGTCCACCTCGACATCATTGCTCTCTTCGTCAATGACGTGGCAGAATGCTGCCTCCATTTCTTCTTCTTGCAAATTATTGTCGGGTGCCTCAGCTGCTTCTAACACTTCAGACAAAACACCAGGGCGAGACTTAAACTCTTTAAGCATGTTTAGATTATATACTTTATGATGTCCTCTGACATCAATAAGATAGTCCACATCTGAAATTTTCTTAATAACTTTAAAAGGACCCTGCCATTTGGCTGATAAACAATTATTATTATCTTGCAGAAATATCAATACATCATCATTAGGCTGGAGAGTGATCAGTCTCCGGTTACGGTTAACGTATTCTCTTTGATGAGTACCAGCATTTTCCAAGTTGTCCCGTGCAACTTGACAACCTGTGATTATCTTGTTACGTAACTCCGTCACGAATTTAATATATGTTTGAGGCGCTTCTTGATCGCCTTTACCGATCCATATGTCCTTTAACAGCGACAGTGGACCTCTGGGATTAGCACCATATATAAGTTCGAAAGGTGAGAAACCTGTACTGCTCTGGGGCACCTCACGATAGGCGAACAAAACAGCAGGAAGGTATTTATCCCAGTCTGCTGGAAATTGATTAGTAACTTTGGCTAGCATAGCTTTTATTTTCCCATTTAAATTTTCTACTAGCCCATTTGATTGTGGGTGATATCTTGCAGAAAAAAACGTGAGAGATAGCAAGTAATTTGTCAAAAGAGCGCATTGCTTCTGAAATAAATTGTGATCCGTGATCTGATAGGATTGTTTCAGGAAAGCCTACTCTAGAGAATATAAGCATCAATGCTTCTGCTACTGACTCAGTAGTGATATGACGTAACGGTACTGCTTCAACCCAACGTGATGCCATGTCTACAAATGTTAAAATGCATCTAAATCCTCTTTGTGAAACAACCGGTAACGGACCCACAAGATCGACAGCAACTTTTTCGAAAGGACGACATGGAAGATAGACCCTTTGAATAGGAGGTTTCTGAGATGCATCCTTTCTCGCCATCATTTGACAGTCTTTACATGACCTACAGTATTTCCTAATATCTGTGGAACAACCAGGCCAATAGAATTGTGCAAGAACTCTTTTCTGTGTTTTACCTATACCTAAATGTGCAGCAAAAGGTGTGTCATGTGCAACTCTCAGAACATCGGTTCTATAACATAAAGGAACGACTAATTGTTTACATTGCATAACAGGTGATTTAAAATATCTCATTAAAATTCCATTCTTCACATAAAAATGCCATGTACCTTGCTTACATGTTCTAACACTGGTTACTTCTGCCCTAGAAAAGCATTTAGTGAGGGTAGGATCAGCTCGTTGTTGTATCGCAAAACTGTTTGTTTTCGGTGCGTGTGGTTCGTTTCCAAGCTCTTTTGGTCGTTCTGGTTCATTCTTTACTGCTTCTTCGCTAGCTATCCCACATGTGATAGCTATTTGGTTTTCGTTCGAAGTAGCTGACTGTAACGCAGGTGTAGCTTCCTCGTTATTTACTCTGTGTTGAGCGCGTGTAACTGCAGCATTAGCTTCAGTCACACCCTCATTTTCTTTATACCAGCGTTCGATTTCCTCACGCGAGGGCATCTTTGCTCCTGGAACTGATCCAAGGAGTACGTCTGCTGACGGTCTCTCCAAAACACACACTTCGGCAACACTTTCAAAATACGGGTTATTTAAATAGACTTTTGCTAAAGGAAATCTTTCTAAACGACCACCAAAAGTACGACACTTGCAATACCGACCTAAGTATGCCGATTTGGGGATTAGGTATCTAGCCACTCCTATAACATTGGCGCCCGTGTCACGTAATACTTTAGATTTTATGTTTCCAACATAACCATTATGCAAAGGCAAACCAGCCTCCAGTGGTACAGCAGACAACGCTGGGTAAACAATTTCTGGATGGATTCGAACCTGACCATCCGCTACATTTGTCACTTTTTGTGACATCGCTGCGTTTACTGTTTGCGCGAAATTAGCATGACTGTTCATAACCCTTGGGCACTCAGAACGTTTATGGAAACCACGGCATACATAGCACCTTATAGGACCTGTGTTGCGTTGAAACCTACCTCGTGAAGATGGACCATCATCATCATCTTTCCTGTGTCGCTTGTGGGGACAATCGGGAGTTTTGTGCCTCCACGAAAGACAGATTGAACAAGCAGATGAACGGGGTTGATAATGTTCACCCTGCTTTTTGGACGCTTGATCTCTATGGGGTGGTTGTCTCTGTTCGCTGTGGCTGCGATAGCGCCCCTGCCTATTATGGCATTTGTTCCACCCGGGCCGATTTGACGAGGCGTTGTGATGCACCCTAATACTGGATGCAGCTGGGAGTATGTCCTCGAACCTGGGGTTGTGTAATGGTTTACCAGGATGTGCAGTGACATACTGTTCTCCCAATGTTGTCATCTCCTCAACTGACTTCGGTTTCCTTTCTTGAAAAAATGAGAACATCTCCGAACTACATGAAGACAAAATTTTATCTCGAATAATGAGATCAGCCAACTTATCATAAGAGTTTTTAACATCTGCCAATGTCACCCAACGCGTAAACAACGTTCTAACGCGGGCCACAAAATCAGCGAAACTTCCATCGACGGATGGCACAACAGATTTAAACTGCACACGGTAACCTTCTTCGGTCATGCACTTCGACGCCAACAGTTTTTGTTTGACTATTTCGAACGACGCGCGTTCGTCTTCTGATAAGTTCGTGAACGTGTTCAAAACTGGTCCCGTTAGCAAATCCCTTAAACGTGATACCCATTGTTCCTCTGGTATCTTAGCTGTATTCATCGCTAACGAGAAGCGATCCAAAAAATTATGATCTTCTGTAGGTGTAAGAAATGGTAATTTGGGTATGTAAACACATGCCCCTTGTTCGGAACCCGAACGGCTACTAGTCACAAGACGAAGGCTCTCTGATTCTGACACAGCAACAACCTTGTCTCTATCTATACGCGCTAGTTCTAATTCGTTCTCCAAACGTAACCTTTCCAAATTAGTCTCCATTTCGAAACGCAGTCTCTCCGCCATAGCTTCTTTTTCCCAGCGTAGTTTCTCAGCCTCAGCTTCTTTTTCCATGCGTAACTTCTCCAACTCCATTTCTTTTTTCCAGGCGCGTTCCGCTGTTCTCTCATCGCGTAACTGGTTATCTCTGTCCGACAACTCTTTCATTCTGGCTTCGGCGAAAGCTAAGAGTTGTCCATTTTCTAGGCCTATACTTCGACCTAACTCCAAAAACTCAGCAAATGTAGACATATTTAAGTAATATGACAATCAATATACAATATAGGATATATGTGATAGTGTGTGGTGAAGTGACGCCACAGGACAACGAATACTGCGTACTGTCACACACGTACAATGCGACGAGTCTGACAGACGATAATTAAAAAATGACTTCACAAATACACCAATGGAACTAACAAATAGAGAAGGGACAATCGTCGAAAGAACACCAGGTAGCACTATTACAAACTAAACGTACAGGGCGTGACGAGACCGGACTAAGACACTTTAGCCTAAATCAATCCACAGAGTCGCGAATAGATAAACTATCTCCCTGTTATAATGGCCAAGTAGGGGTAAAACAGTAGTTACTTCAATGCTTTCAAAATGTAGAGCTCGAACGCTATGCGTTAAGTTCCAACGGTTGTATTGATATATACAATCAGCAATGATTAACACAAAGGATACATATGCAAGTAATAATCAACTCGTTCAACCAAAGCTCGCTCGTACATCCATGTAATGATATGTCCTCACGATAGGTCGCAGTCCGACCTTGAGATCCAGACGATTTACTTTCTCCTCGGACAAGTCCGAATTAAGCAATGAAAGTATACCGGCTTACTGCCGAGAATGTAGTATTAACCAGCTTCCTGCTGAGGTCTATCTTGGAATCCCGGGGTAAAACGTCCTCAAGGATCCAACTTTATATAACGTTTGCTTCCGTGGGATCCCGGGGTAAAGCGTCCTCAAGGATTCCCACGTCCGTCTCCTTCGGACTATAAACATCAACTGCTTTGACAACAATATTATCAAACAGAACTGTTTGACACTCCATACCATTGATAAAATAACACAAAACAGTCTGCTGCCAGATCACTAGTCCTTTGCCAACTCTCCTTTTTTCTTCAGCATTCCGAACCCTTGCCAACTCTCCTGCCTTGTGAAATTTCATACACAGACTGCTCTTGATATCCTGTGTGCACAGTCAACCTGTTCCACTCCTGCCTCTTCTTCTTTTTCCAGAAGCCTTACCCTCTGTTACTGTTTGCTCCAAACATTATGGCGTTTAATACGGTACACATGTTTCAGTTATTGAGAGATGGTATTGTCTGTCGGCCGCCCCTCTCCTCCTCGGAATTCAGATACATCTTCCCCAACAAATAAAAATACAACTAGCCTCTCTACATACAATCAGAAACTCATTGAATATTATCTGAGCAAAGATTACCTGGCCATTTAATAGGTAAAAGTATTTTAGAAATAGCATATATTTACCTTCAATTAATACAATTACTGTGACAAACTGTAGCTGAGATGTAGGTGTAATTTGAGCACATTAATGTGCTTGTATTTAATAATTAGCTTTTATTGATAAAGTTTACTTTTACTTAATAACAGATTTATGAAGGAATTATAAATGAAAGGAGGGAGATTAGAAGGGAAGAATGCTATACAGGTCTGTGTGTAGAATTCTTAACGCTATGATAATAAATTTTGTTTTTTATCTTGATACTGAAGAATGCCAGAACCGTATATTATAAACGAGGAAATTTTATGTGCAAGGTTTTATTTCACATTTTTGGCTTCCACACAGGCCAGTCAGCGGGTCCATCTGACAGCTCTTCCCCAAAGCTCGCTGCCATTTCATTGGCCGCGGGTTGACCTGGATCAGCTTCTGAGTGTGAAGTTGTTAGATGTGGAGCATTGCAGATGGTCTGGTGGATTCTGCATTGACAAGATCAATTCTTTCCATATCAACATGAGGTTTGTTTTGGTTGATTCTGCATTGACAAGATCAATTCTTTCCATATCAACATGAGGTTTGTTTTGGTTGATTCTGCATTGACAAGATCAATTCTTTCCATATCAACATGAGGTTTGTATTGGTGGATTCTGCATTGACAAGATCAATTCTTTCCATATCAACATGAGGTTTGTATTGGTGGATTCTGCATTGACAAGATCAATTCTTTCCATATCAACATGAGGTTTGTATTGGTGGATTCTGCATTGACAAGATCAATTCTTTCCATATCATCATGAGGTTTGTATTGGTGGATTCAGCTTTAATAAGATCAGTTCTTTTCATATCCAGATGAAGCTTCTGGGGTTGATTAAGCATTAGTCAGATCAGTTCTGTCAGTATCTGCAGAGGTCTGTAGAGAGGGTGGTCTTGTTATGTGTTAGCTTATCGTATCTGAATAATAGTTGTGTTTCATGTGATAATAGTGGTGGTATACAAATGGTGTCATATGTGATGTGTCTTTATTATGTAGGTTAATGTATTTGACACATGTAAACAACAGAATTTCAGCTTCTCACAATTATATTCAACATTAATACAGTGGAACCTCGCTTAATGAGCATAATTCGTTCCAGAGTCATACTCGTTAAGCGAAACACTCGTTTTGCGAAACAATTTTTCTCATATAAATTAATTTAAAATACAATAATGCGTTCCATGTAAAAAAAAATACTCACAAAATGCTATGATTAACGTTTATTCAAAGAAAATTATATACATATTGTTAAGGAGAGTGAATCATCTTCATCTTTACTTCAAACGCGGAACGAACCTGGAATGCGAATTCGATTAGCAGAAGAAAAAAGTCAGAATAATTATGATATATAGCTAATTATTTTTTTTTTTTACTCAAAAGATGTCCAGAAACATTTGTTTTTGCCGACGCTTCAAAATTTGGCGAAATGCGACACAGCATTGTCATTAAATAAATTTGCAATGCGTAGAGCCACTTCCTTATATTAGGGTGATGCTTCTTAATATAAGATGCAACAGTTTGCCATGCTTTCAGCATTTCTCTTATTTCGCCAGAAGATTGTTGCTTTTCTGTTACCTCTTCCTCCTCCTCTGGTAAACTTTCCTCCAAAACTTCTTGCTGTGAAACACAATGCAACTCCATAAGCTTTTGGGTGGTCAGCTCTTGGCGGTGCTCTTCCACAAGCTCTTCGATATCACTGTTATCCACCTACAATCCCAAGATAGTGGCCAAAGACACAATCTCGTTGACTACAGGTTCTGCAGGTATTGTCTCGAACCCCTCAAAGTCACAAATCGACAACGCTCTCCGGCCAAAGCTTCTTCCAAGCAGAAGTTAGGGTTCTCTTGGCAACCCCTTCCCCCGCCTTGTCGATCATCTTGAGGCAGGTAACGATGTGGAAGTGATTTTTTCCAAAACTCTTTGAGAGTGCGGTTAGTCCCTTCAGTAACCTGAAAACAATGCTCTAAGAGTGATTTAGTGTAGAGCTTCTTAAAGTTAGAAATAACCTGCTGGTTCATGGGCTGGAGCAACGGAGTGGTGTTGGGAGGCAGAAACTGGATCTTGATGAACTAAAATTCTTCAGGGAGGTCATCTTGTAGGCCTGGAGGATTCATGTACATATATCACAATATAACACACGTTTGAGAAAATGTGTGATCACAAGCGACACTACGATGCTACCATGTGGATGAGGATCACCGGTGGAGAGGTCCCAGAAACTGCGTTCAGCCATTAGGCCATATTTATGGCCTGGCTATATTGCAGCTCCTGGCAAGATCCAGGATGGGGCTTCAAAAAACGAAAAATGTCATCCTAAAAAGGATGGCAAATAATAAGTAAGGACTTCCCCTCTCCTCGCCACTCGTTATGCAAAACGTCGCTCGTTGAGCAAGTTATTTTTTTACAATTTGTTTTGCTCATTATGCGAATTACTCGTTATGAGAGGTGCTCGTAAAGCGAGGTTCTACTGTAATTTATTTAGTATTAAACCTTTAGACACCCGAGAAGCGGCTGATCGTTACAAATCTCCATAAATGTCGATAAACTGTCATTGCTGCATTGGCCTGTCTCTGACAAGCCTAGATAATGGCACTGATTCTGTTTGCACATGCGGAGTGTTTAGGAGGGCTGGATGTTATTATATTAACTATCAAAAACGCGGGAGAGGGGAGTGTTCACTGTTGTTGAAAAATGTTAAAGCCAGCCTTGATCAATAATTGGTATGCAAACCACAGGGAGCCACCATGGTTTAGCGGCTAGATGCCTGCCTGTGTCAGAAAGTTGTAGGTTCAGGTCCTGGCTGAGCTGGATTTTTTTTTAATAGCCTTGGCTTCCAGATCAGTCCAGCCTTAAATGGATACCAGGTTTAATCCTGGGAAGTAAAGGCAGCCAGTGTGATGTTGACCACATTACCCACCAAGTGCCGATTGGCCCATAAAATATAGGTCTAGCCCTATATGCCCAATACACCTGAAGGCGTTGAGAAAGATCCTTTATTTACTTACTTATATAAACCACAGTATTGTTCCATAATTATTATGTTAAAACTAAACCATGTTTATATTGAAATTAAACTGCAGACACATTATTTGAAACAAGATTGTTTTATAAGAAAACTGTCATCTGTTTTGAATAAAGATTTATATAATTTTTAAGAAAACTATGACCTTTTGGCAAAAAAGATTTCTATGTTTTATCAGAAAACTGTTCATCAGTTTAGTATAAAGATGTCTACTTCCATACAACCAGGGATTCGACAGGAAAATGTCATCTGCTGAAAGTAGAAGTGGTACAGCAAGGACCTACTTTCTTTACTGTGTTTGCCAATGCAGATGTTATGCCACCTCCATTCCGCATTGATAACTTCAGTGAGGTAAGTATCTTTTGTTGGTAACACTCTGCTAAGCTTGTTTAATAAAACCAGGTAAAGTCTTGGGAAGCAAAGGCAGCTGGCGTGATATTGACCACTTCATCCATCTTCTCCAAAGATCTTTAATGTATCCAGTGTATTACAGATTGTCTGAGCATTTCATCCTTGTCCTAGAAGGGTAAATGTCTAAGCTATTGTATAAGGATCAAAGGGATTATACCGTCATTTTCTGCTTCATATCTTATAAAAATCCAGACAGCCAATTCCATGAGATGAGCCTGGTCTGCTCAACCCTAAATTTGATACTGAAACCTCTGGAAGAGAAAAATTGTCATGTCAACATAAGAAAAAAGGTTTCACTGGATTTATTTCTACTTCAAGGTGTCTGTCCAATTTACCCTCCATATTTTTTTAAAAATCTAAACAGATAATTCAACGAGATAAACATGGTCTGCTCAAGCCATAAATTGATAACGTAACTTCTGATATGCTAAATACTAGTCACCATGGCGGAGCAGCTAGACGCGCGCCGCGGATCAAAAGGTTGTGGGTTCACTCCCTGGCGGAGCCAGACTTTTCTTCAAAAATGACCTTGGCTCCCAGGTCAACCCAGCCTTGAGTGAGTACCGGGTGCTGTCCCGAGAAGTAGAGGCAGCCGGCGTGATGCTGACCGCATCATCCATCTTGTGCCGTTGGTATATAAACATATAGATCTAGCCCTATATGCCCTATACGCCTAAAGGCGTGGGAAAGGGTCCTTTACTTGTATATATATTGATATGAACATAAACAAAGTAGGTTTTACTTTATTTATTTGTACTTCCAGGTGCCAGTGCAGTTTTACCAGACGCATACAACAGATGACAGACTGAAAACTTTCATACAGCCTCAGTCATCAAGTAAGAAAAGTTTTTAGTTTTGGCTTAGAACATAGTGAAACCACAGTTAGCCAACAAATGCCCTGGTTAGTTTGTAATGACCTGTACAGCATATGCAATTGACTGTGCTCATTGCATTTTGTCTATTTCTATGTCATCGTTATCATACACCATCGGGCATGATCATAAATGTCATATCAGGTTTGTTGATAACAGTAGATAGATAAAAATAATCTTCTACTTCTTCTCTTCCATTTTCTTCTTCTTCTTCTTCTTCTTCTTCTTCTTCTTCTTCTTCTTCTTCTTCTTCTTCTTCTTCTTCTTCTTCTTCTTCTTTTTCTTCTTCTTCTTCTTTTTCTTCTTCTTCTTCTTCTTCTTCCTCTTCTTCCTCCTCCTCCTCCTTTTTTTCCTCCTCCTCCTTTTTTTCCTCCTCCTCCTTTTCTTCCTCTTCTCTTCTTCTTCTTCTTCTTCTTCTTTTTATTCGTCCTCCTCCTTCTCCTCTTTAGCCTTTTTAGCCCTTGAGGTTCATTGCTGCAGATGATCGTTTGCATTTTACACCCCTACAACATTGGTGTCTATGTAATTAATATTACCTTATTGTATGTCCTCACATCCAGTTCCTTATGCCTGGGATGAGCCTACATTGAAACCATTAAAGCTGACCCTGGCGATAATGGGTGGAACCTCATCCAGCTACAGTCTGGACAAGCTGGAGGAAGGAGAGCAGCTTCACTATGAGAACTTCATCTACCTGGCTGCCACAGCTACGTTTGAGAAGTAAGCTCAGCCTAATAGTCTATAAAATCTCACTACACTTTGTATGCAGAACAGTTCTGAAAAATGAAATACCTGACGCTAGCAAAATATGTGCTGCACAGTCTATTGTGATGCAGTATGAAGTAAATGTATATCCTTTGCTAGAGTAAATCTTTGCACTCAAAACAAAATGGTAAAGAAAAATTTATAGTTTTAGTCCAAGACAGAATCTTCCAAAATCCAAGCAAGTCATTAAAGAAAATTTACAATCATGTCTTGAAGCCCATGGTGAACATTTCCAACATTTGTTATAATTAATATTTCATTAGTAGCTTTCCCAAAACAGTGTTAGACCACAGCATTGACTATTGTAACTAATTTAATTACCTTTTTAGCACATTTGTTGATGACGTCCTACACTTCGTTTTTCAGATTTGCTGCATGCAAAGTGTAGGGAGACTTTACAAACTTCCTGGCTTATCACATTTACACTGAACAAAAAAAAAGAGAATATTTAAAATATGAAACATCGTTAATTAGACAAGAATCAAAATTATCTTATAGGCGAAACATCATCTCAATTGATACAATAAACCAGATTATTTAGAGCATCTAATGGGATCAGTAAACGAGAGAGAGAGAGACAGACAGACAGACAGACAGAGAGAGAGAGAGAAGCATGCTCGCATACTTGACACTCATAAGATTTGTTTCAAAGGTAAAGCATAATATTTACACACAAACAAAAAATAATTTAATAATGTAACTTATTTTATCATCTTTCAGTCTAAATGTGGGGTGTGAAGGGTAATTGGAGTCCAGAAATATATGTAATAATTATGGCAGACACTGCTGATTGTAAATAGAATTCACACTTTTTATATTTTATGCACACATTTTTTCAACTGTAAACTTATCTTGATTTGTTTTTAAATGTCCTCGGAGGTCAAATAGAAACAAATAGCCTACACGTTATGACAAGTTCTGGAGAAGTGGTCTTGACTTTTTAGACCTCAGCAAAAATCTCCCAGCGGGTGCTGTCTGTGATTTTTAATTCTCGTGTATTTTCATTGTTGACTGATATGTTTTGTTTGCCTCTTTGTCTGCCTAAATTTATTTACATTTAGCTTGTCTCTTGTCATCCTAACTGTATAGCAACTGGAGTGGACCTAGTAGGGAACTGGTTTTGGATTGTGTTCACAACAGCAACATTGTTTTCATGAGAAAGGTAAGCCCGGACAAGACTCTCATGTCTCTCTTCTTCTCCTCCTTCTTTTGTCTCCTCTTTCCTCCTCTCTCTCTTCTTCTGCTACTTCTTCCTTCTACTTCCTTCTTCTTCTTCTTCTTCTTCTTCTTCTTCTTTTTTTTCTTCTTCTTTTTCTTCTTCTTCTTCTTCTTCTTATGCTTTTTCTGCATCTTCTTCTTCTTCATAATCCAGTAAAGCATAGGCCCTCAGCTAATTGAAACCAGGCTCATCTTAGACTGTTCTCTGATTGGTTTAAAATTCTGTTAGTTAATTAGTTAGTCGACAGATTATCCTCATTGCACATCAAACCACAGCATTGCTTCCTATTTATTTTTCTACGCAAATTTTTAGAATGACCAGCAACAAGCATAGTTGTTAAAAACAGGATTTAGGTCAAGGTTTCCTTGTGGGGAATAGCTTTATTTATAGAAAATAGGACACTAGAATTTCCTATTACTTACACTGGTAACTTGCAGCAGGGTCAAGAACCGGTTATGCTAAACACTTTTTGAATCTCTGATGCTGTCTGTGATTTTTAATTGCCTTGTATTTTTGATGTTGACTTGGATGTTTTTGGATTGTGTTCACAACAGCAACATTGTGTTCATGACAAAGGTAAGCCTGGACAAGACTCACATCTCGCTTCTTCTTCTCCTCCTCCTCCTTTTCCTTTTCCTTTTCCTCCTCCTCCTCTTTTTCTTCCTATACAATTAGGATGACAAGAGACAAGCTAAATTTAAACAAATTTAGGCAGACACATAGGCAGATAAAACATAACAGAAGTCAAAAATGAATCTCAGAGAGATGAATCCCAGTCAGTCCTCTGCCTGTTGGTGTTTAATAACTCCTATATATAATCTTGTATGATATTAAATATTGTTTTGGTCCATACATAGAATTTAGATTTTGTATGTGATCTGTGTAAAATAGTTTTTTTTTTTTTTTTTTAATAAAAGAAATATTTTTTTTTAGAAAATATGAAATTAAAAAAATATAGATCTTTGGCATTGTTTTTTTTCTAGGTCCCTGGGGTGAAAGGGTTTAAAAAAATATAACCTGTTTATGATGAATTGACTTTTTATCTTTTTTTTTCACTTTGTGCCATTCTAATAAAACTTTCTAATCACTATCTCATCACTAAATCTCGAATTCTCTCACCATTAGGAGAAAGGCAGACGTAGCCAGCTATGGAGGATGACAGGTTCAGGAATGCTGGAACATGAGGGTTCAAGGCCTCCTCGTGACCCCCGCAATCCCAGCTCAAGTTCTGATCCAGGCTTAGTCCTTGACATTGCTGATTTGGCTCCAAGACCAGGCCAGGCGGTCCCACTAACTCTGAGAAAACCTGATTTGAGGCGCAAGGCTACACAAACTTGGAGGTTTACAGAGGTAACAGTATTCTTTGCTTTCCTTATGGGCCTTGGTTTGTGACTCATTGTATGTGAGATGCTTAGCATTGCCATAGTATCTACAAATGGAATTTTTTTTTTAATGTGCAAAATTTAGGCAGTATCTGTTAATGAACTACTTTTGTTATACCAATGGCATGTTATTGAGTGCGCTAAAATGACGGGTGGCCAATTACATTCATAATGGTATGTATTTTTGTCAGTGCAATCCTGGCTGGCTTTTGTCATTTAGCGTTTGTGCTGCAGTTCTAGTATGTAACTGTTAGTGTTGGCACATCTGACAGCTGCCTTATTGATTGTTACTTAGCATGTGGAATTTCCGTGAAATTTTTTGTAATTTTTATTGTCATAGGACCAAAGATGAGGGGGATGGGTTCATAGAGCAACCATCTGCAGTGATTTTGGAACCTCACCTAACAGCTTATGACTTTTGTGTGTGCAATATTTAACAAGTATCAGCAAATGTAAAATTTTGTATGGAAAATTTTTAGGGACTAATTAATTATTGACCCCTTTATATTAAATATTTTTTAATGTGTCTGTGAATGGACTGTTTTTTGTATGGAAAATATTAGACAGTGCCTACTAAGGAACTGCATTTCAGAGTGAAATATTTAAGCAGGATCTTCTTATGGATTGCTTTTGTATGTGAAATATCTAGATAGTGTCTTCTAATGAATAAATTACTTTTATGTGTGCAATATTTAAGTAGTATCTATTATAATATACAGTTGCTGTCTTTGAAATATTTAGACGTCTACAAATGAATGGACTACTTTTGTGTTTGCAGTACTTAAGTGGTATCTACTAATATACTATTGTTTATGTGACATATTCAGACAGTGCCTACTTTTTGACTACTGTTATATGTGAAATATTTTGATTGTGTCTACTTATTAACTGGGAGCAGCTTGGCGTAGCAGCTAGACACTCGCATGCAGATCTGAAGGTCATGCATTCAAGTGTGAATGGAGCTGGCTAGTTTTTTTCAAAAATAACCTTGGTTCTTGTTCGACCCAGCCTTGAATTGGTACCAAGGGAATTCCTGAGGAGTTAAGCCGGCCGGCGTAATGCTAACCATATCACCCACTAAGTTCCGATTGGTTTATAAAATATATATCTAGCCCTATATGCGCAGTATACCTGAAGGCATGAAATAGGGTCCTTTACTTTATTTACTACTTATGAACTGTTTTAATATGTGAGATATTTAGGCAGTAACTTCTAACAAATTACTTTAGTATATGAAATGTTTAGGCAGTATCTACTTGTGGACTACTTTTGAATGTAGAATCTGTAATGGACAACCTGTATATAACTTCCAGCAAGGTCAGCTATGTTGTCAAGCAGGATCCATGTGTGTTCAGGCTGTCGGTGGAGCCAAAGGTCTGCAGGAAGGTGGGTCAAGATTGTCTTTATTCCCTTGAGAAGCAAATTATTCACACAGTATCTTTTTACTCCATAAATCATTTATAAAAAACCCAGAACCCGGGAATTCTATATTAAAAAGACTAAAACATTTTTCACAGGTCACTTACAAATATTTGAAAGGAAGTAATCCATAAACATGAATATAGTGAAGAATTTATTAATTACCTTGGGCCTTACAAAAATATGTTCGTCGCTCATATCGTGATTAACATTTAAAAACAATATAAAGGATTTGTTTAGGAATTCCCAGGTTCTGATCTTGTTATTTTTTTTATTTTTTTCAAAAACATTTTTTTCTCTAAAGTGTTTTCAGAAGCAAAATGGTTAAAAAAGGTAGTTGGCACATTGTTTTGGGGTTGACAGCTAGACTGTGATATCTGTGACTTTCAACCTAAACATGGAAATCATTTGTTATGATGATTTTCTCATCTATCCCAGACAGAAACATAACTTTTGCATGTTTTTTACATCTTTCAGTCTCTGCTTTTTTAAGGTGAATTTATTATACTTTGAGACAGTAGATCACTTGCTGGAGATGGTTTTCTAATCCCATCAGACTTAAAAATGACTTTTAGGCTGGTTTGGTAATCCTGTTCAGACAGTTTTCTTATCTGATCAGACAGAAAACTGACTTTTAGACCAGTTTGATAATCCTGCTGATAAGGTTTTCTATTCTAGTCAGGCAGAATAACAGTGTTTAGACCAATTTGATAATCCTATCATGGTTTTTCCCATCAGACAGAAAAGTGGCTTTTAGATATAATTAATAATCCTGTCAGCATCTGTGGCCTAAGGGTTAAGAATGCAATTTGTAATTTTGAATACCCAGCTTGTTTAAGCTGTGAGCGATTTAGCAGCTTTACTGTTTTGTGTTGATTCCAACAATGTTAAGGAAAGCTGACTGTTCAGAAAGCATTGGCAGACTCAGTCATTCAGTCAGCAGGTCATTTACAGAACATCGCTGACTTCACAGCAGAGCTGGAAGTCTCTCTAGCCAATTCTCCAGCCAGCCCTGTGTGCTTTCATAGCCTTCCATGTCCTGTATCCACCTTCCTGGAGGTCGGTCTGTACCCCATTTTGCTGAAACTGCACCCTTCATCATCTTTCTCTATAGATAACCGTGGCACCTGACATGGCCAAAATACCACAGCTTTTAAGATAGGATGCTGTTTATGAGCCAATTCTCCTTGATGCTCAGGTCATGCACGATGTTGGCATTTTTCTTCTTCTTGCTCCACAAAATTTTAAGAATTTGTCTGTAGCATTTCAGTTCAGAAGCTCTGATTTTTAATTGTTAATTTAAAAACTAAGTAAGAGTCCGTGACTCACGTCCATTAGGTTGTCAGGGTAAAGATGTCTGATCTGAAAATGTTTACTTTACCAGGCCTGCGGTGAATGGTAGACTACTATACTAAACATTGCTTGGTCAAATCAAAAATAGCAGACAAATGTTGGGGTTAGTTTGCAATGTCCTGCAAAGAATACACAGCTGATTATTAATACTCCTGTTGAGATGTTTGTATTATCATGTCAGACAGTAAAAAATCATTTGTTTAGTTTATCTTATTGTCTTATCATGTCAGACTGTAAAAATCATATGTTTAGTTTATCTTACTACAATTTCAAGGAAAGATTTTGCATTAGTTGAAATATTTGTGTTAGGTAATATTTTTATGAAACTCATGCTGCAATTAAAAGCACATTATTGCAGAGTCTCAAAGGTGTTTGAGCAAAAGACAACAATATAAAAGAGAAGTCACTATCAAGAGATAGACGAAATGCAGTTTTGTAAGAATGTATCACCAGAGAAGTTTATACCCAAACTAAAAATAAAAATGTTCAGTCGAGTTGATCGTAACTGTGGAGATTGCAGCTGTTTGATTTACACATCATTTGTTAAAATGTAGATAATTCTTTTTCTTTTTCACATTCACAGGCTGTAAATTCTGGCGGAAAGTTCTAGTTGTTCCTCCATTTCTGGATTGCAGTCCTTTTCCAGAACCTGAGTGTTGCGTGTGTATCCATTTGACAGATCTGACTAATTTGTATGTAGACTGTTGGTTCCCTGCTTGTCAGGCAGATACACCCTGACTTCGAAGGAAGCTCCCAATTAGTCCACTCTTACGACATGCTTTTGGGTAGGCAGTGGGTCTCTTCTTGTGTTTCCCCGTAATAGGGCCCCTGAACCCACACAGGGATTTAGATAATTCACTTGAACCTGTTTATTTTAGGTGCAATAGCCATCCTTGGACCTGGCATGGATCCAGAGACAGAAAAGAAGCTTGAGTCAGAGAAATTGGCAGGAACAAGTCAGTTGTTGTCAGACAAGTCTGCCACATCTATCACCAGCCACATGTTAATCTCCAGGCAGAAACTGCGACCTGGATCTGGTTGTGTATCGGTGCGTGTCAGCATGGATGGCCCTATCCGTGTCATTGAGCTAGTGGATATACAGCAACGGGTGAGTGGTGCTACACATTTGTGCTGATCTCAGTGTGGGTGCTTGTCACACAGAGAGAGAGAGAGGGAGTGGTGTGTGTGTGTTTGGGAGTTGGTGAGGGGGGAGATATTGGGTGGGCTGAGCCGAAATGTGCAGATATCACATCTTAGCTGTAAGCAATAACACCAAGTAAACACCAGGTACCAATTGCCTTCATGGGAGCTTGTTGTCACAGTATGGGGTTTCTGCATTATTCAGGGCTTTAATATTATCATCATGTACCTTGTTATGTGGTGCGGATGTTCATGTATCTCCACTGAACTTTGTCCCTGGTGGCCTGGGTTAGTTTTTGTTGATGTCATTCCTCCATCCTATCATCTTAAATGGTGCAGCACAATTTCTCATGGTCTGTTCATCTACGGCTCTTCTACCCCTGATCATTCTGGTCTTTAAAGGGTCCCCCATTCCTCTCTTCTCTTCACGTGACCAAAGACCACTCATTCAGGTGCCATCTCCAGAGTGTAGTTTGGCTGCAGTAAATCTCCCATACCCTGTCTCTCATCTTTCTGAGAATTCTCATTGTATCCATCACTTCATGTTGTCATTCCATTTGTATCAATGTCTGTCTGTTGCTCTTTTACCTACAACATTAATGTTTTAAAAATAGTGTTGTGTCCTTTGAATTGGTGAAATATGTCACTTACAGAAATCCTTATCTTGTAAGAAATCTTGTCTCTTTCTTATCATCTTTATCAAGTGCCTTGCTGACCAGTGTGGGCAATCATGCCTCTCTACAATCTGTGATCTGCAACAGTGTGGGCAATCATGCCTCTCAATAATCTGTGATCTGCAACAGTGTGGGCAATCATGCCTCTCTATAATCTGATCTGCAACAGTGTGGACAATCATGCCTCTCTATAATCTGTGATCTGCAACAGTGTGGGCAATCATGCCTCTCTATAATCTGATCTGCAACAGTGTGGACAATCATGCCTCTCTATAATCTGTGATCTGCAACAGTGTGGGCAATCATGCCTCTCTATAATCTGTGATCTGCAACAGTGTGGGCAATCATGCCTCTCTATAATCTGTGATCTGCAACAGTGTGGGCAATCATGTCTCTCTACAATCTGTGATCTGCAACAGTGTGGGCAATCATGCCTCTCTACAATCTGTGATCTGCAACAGTGTGGACAATCATGCCTCTCTACAATCTGTGATCTGCAACAGTGTGGGAAATCATGCCTCTCTATAATCTGTGATCTGCAACAGTGTGGGCAATCATGCCTCTCTACAATCTGTGATCTGCAACAGTGTGGGCAATCATGCCTCTCTACAATCTGATCTGCAACAGTGTAGGCAATCATGCCTCTCTATAATCTGTGATCTGCAACAGTGTGGGCAATCATGCCTCTCTACAATCTGTGATCTGCAACAGTGTGGACAATCATGCCTCTCTACAATCTGTGATCTGCAACAGTGTGGGCAATCATGTCTCTACAATCTCTGATCTGCAACAGTGTGGGCAATCATGCCTCTCTACAATCTGTGATCTGCAACAGTGTGGGCAATCATGCCTCTCTACAATCTGTGATCTGCAACAGTGTGGGCAATCATGCCTCTCTACAATCTGATCTGCAACAGTGTAGGCAATCATGCCTCTCTATAATCTGTGATCTGCAACAGTGTGGGCAATCATGCCTCTCTACAATCTGTGATCTGCAACAGTGTGGGCAATCATGCCTCTCTACAATCTGTGATCTGCAACAGTGTGGGCAATCATGTCTCTACAATCTGTGATCTCATAACAGTGTGAGCAATCATGCCTCTCTACAATCTGTGATCTGCAACAGTGTGGGCAATCATGCCTCTCTACAATCTGTGATCTGCAACAGTGTGTATCAGTTCATGTGCTGTCCCCTCTCTGCCATGACAAAAGGCTGTCTTTCCACAGACCTGTCCAGTGGTCACATCATGTTCCGGTTTCTTTCTTATCCTAACGTGACCAAGAAATGATAACTGTCTGCTTCTGATATTTTTGATAAGTTGTCTTCAAACCTTTGCTTTTTTCAAAATATCTGGCTTGCCTTTTTTTAGCTGCCAAAGTAATCTAAGGATTCTTCTGTAAAACCACATCTCTGAGGACTAAAGTTACATATAATGTTCTTCTTTCATCGGCTCTCTCTGGGAATTGGGCGTGGTGTGAACCACCTGTAAGGGTGGGCCAGGCTCATGTCGTTCAAGACACCAACATCTCTCCACCTTCTTCCTAGAAACAGGTTTCCAACCAGGGCCTGACCAACATAGATAGGATAATTGTTTCCTTGTAAGTCAAAATGCGTCTGCCCCAGAGGGAAGGAAATAACAGTCTTCACATAAATAAACCTAATTTGTAAAACTGATGTGCACACAACACTTAAGTCCTGGAACAAGACCAAAGTCAAGAAATAGATAAACAACCAGGACTTCCGCTGGAGTTCATGTGAAGAAGAATATTAACTTTCTCTAAGCAATCATTGTTTGTTGCTCCTACTGTCAACAGATGTCCTAAAAATCATATCTAAAAGTTAATGTTTATCTTATTCAGTATGCTTCAGCAAACATTTTTCAGTCATAAAATTGATTTGATTCAGCACTGAAATATATACTATCTGCACCAGGAGACGGTTACATGTGTATTTTAATTGACAGGATATTCCAAAAAAAAATAATTTGTAATTTGGTGCATTTAATTTATATTTAGGTTATTAACACGCTTGGCTCCCAGTCAACCCAGCCTTGAGTGAGTGGGTAGCAGATGGAGTTCTGGGAAATACCGGGGTGATGCTGACCACATCCCGCACTAAATATAGGTCTAGCGCTATATTCCCAATACGCCTGATGGTGTGGAAAAGGCTCCTTTACTTTTTACTTTTATTAACACTCACAGTTTATGGATTGCACCAGAAGAAAGTAAACATACTTGCATTCTTTTACATTATAAACCCTCATATGTTAAAGGACACAAACCTCAATAATGCCCCAGTTCTTCCGACACTCACTTAAACTTATTTATTGTTATCAATAAATGCGGCTGAAACGTCACAGATTTATTTTAAACTGTCCACTCTCAGACACTTTACCTTCAGGTGGAGTGACTGTATGAAAAATGACATGCACTGGAGGATCTACGTCAAAAGAATTTATATACAGATGACAGTTTGAGTGACTGTATGTATAATAAATGACATACACTGGAGGATCAATGCTGGAATACTTTTTATATGGATGACAGTTTAAGTGACTGTACATATGTAAAATAACACACACTGGGCGATGTACACCAAAAGAATTTATAAACAGAGAACAGTTTAAGTGACTGTATAGATGGAAAATAACATACACTGGAGTCGCTCATTTAGTAAATGGCAACAATGCAGAAGGCTGGAACTTTTCATAAGCACACAAAAAATGACAATAACAAAAATACAATTTGGATACTGGCTAGAAAAACTGTTAGGTAATATAAGGGTCTGCAGTAAGATCTACTGTTCCCCATGTAGGTTCCAGAAGCTCTTTTGCGAGGAAAACGAGAATTTTAAAAAAAAGCATGTTGTAAGAGTTGACTAATTGGGGGCTTCCTTCAGAATCAGAGTGCATCTGCCTGAGAGGCAGGAAACCAACAGTCTGCATACAGATAAGTCAGATCTGTGAAATGGATGTGTGCTCAACACTCAAGTTTTGGAACAAGACTAAAGTCTGGAGGTGACCAAACAACCAAAACTTTCTGCCAGAGTTTACAGCTAGGAACACGAAGAAGAAAATCTGCTGTTTGCCTCAGTCTTGCAGTAACTGTACAACAGTACTAATGATTGTGGTTTTGGGTAAAATGTCATTACATCCTGTGTATTCTAAATCTGTGACTGCTGATAATTGTATTACTTTATTTATCATGTCAAATCCTTGATACATGTTTAGTTTGCTTAGGCTATTTTCATAATTGCATGGGTATTTTTGCAGTTTTTAGTGTTGCTTTTTTTTTTTAAATTGTGCATTTTTTCCAACTTTCTTATTTGTTTGTTAGACACATCTATATTCTTACAGATTATTGAACTAGCATAATCAAATGATGATTGTTAAAGACTAATTATGCTTTAAAAAGACATGACACTTAAATCTTATTATAGTTTATAGATACTGTTAGGCCTAATAGTAAGTTTCTATTTGTTTATTTATTTTTCTACTTCCTTGGTCAGCCTACAAATGAACTATTTTGTTACATTATGTAATCTGTCTGCTTGCACTTTAGTTATGTATCTGCACCTGTTCGCTAGCATATCTGAAATTTAAGTAAATTGTTGGCCGAAATTGCCATTTCTCAACATCCAGCATTTTATGAAATTAGGGTTTGTGTTTTAAAAATATTGTCATGGCGGTGGCCATTTTAGTTTCCTTTACGATTTCCAGCTGCCGAAGTTTTTTTTTAATATCTGCAATGTACGAATAGGGCTTCATATTTTTCACCATCATCTACAATAGCTAAGCCTTATGTCTACTAGGCAGTATAAGAGAAAGTGTAACATTGCCAGATTTTTCGGAAACCTCGAATTTTAACCAACAGTGATTGTATTACTTTCACATACCACTCCAGCCTACAATGTTTTCGTTTATGGTTTTTCATGCATGTTTTAATATTCTTAAATAGACGTTAAAACTACAATACTTTCTGTTGACTTGTAAAAAACATCACTTCTTTTTTTCATCTTTCCCAACAACCGCAAAATGGAGTTGTGTACCTGGAAATGCCACATGACCAGGGCGAATTGTGGTCTTTCATTGCATGTTTCTGTTACTTTACAAATACTTCTACATATGATACATTTTCTTGATAACAAATACAGTAACAAACTGATGATCATAACCTTATTACAAACATAAAATATGTGCAGAAGAAAAACACAAACTGAAGCCTGAAAAGGGGAAACACAGCATGTCACAAACCAGTTGTCCACAAATCCATTTTCAGAAATGGCACAAAGAGT